TGGGGGAGACCTAGCTGCTGGACTTACATAACTGAAAGGTACTGCACATGCCCTGAGAAATGGAATGTTCATTTTAGGTGGCGTTTTCCTAATAACCCCAAAGTCTAAAGAAAAAAAAAGGGTTTTATAACCCTTATTTTTATTTAGGAAAAGAGCCAGGAGAAGCAATAATCTTCAGATCATACCAGCTATAGAGGTAAAATGGTCAAAGGGCTTGGATCACAAATCCATTTAGTTTATTCAACATAGAAAAGAAACTTTCTGAGAGCAGCAGCAGATGAGAAATGCACAAAATGTCTTGTCTGCCCCTTTCACCTCAAATGTGCACTACCCCCAGAAAGCAGCCAAGATCTCCCCATCCAGGAACCTCTCTGTACATCCAGGAGTCAGGAGAATAAATGCCCACATGAACCCTACATCCCCATCACCAAGCTGCTCTCCTCTCCTTCCAGTATATCGATTTCTACAAGAAGAAACTGAATGAGCTCTTTGGTTTTCTCTGGAGGTTCGGTGGTGGTGACAGCAGTAGCCATGGCCATGAGCATCCCCAGGAGGATAACAGCTGGACCTAAGGCACGAGTGCACAAGGGAGGAAAGGGAAAATCAGTACGGTGTGAGCTGTCTGCATAACAAGCAGCTCATTCTAGCTCTTGGACACCTGCCTAGCCTCCCTTCCACCAGCAGAACAGGGCCACACACTCCTCTCTCATACAGGCTATTCCAGGTCAATAGATTTCTTTCACTTACTTGTTGACAGAAAGGACATAGCTGGGTTCCTGGTGAGCAGGTAGAGTGCTCTTTCACTCCTGGTTGGCTCAAAGACAGAATGAGTCTCAGACATCCTCAGTCCCATATTTACTGGGAGTTGAATTGTTGATCTTAAGACTTAGGTAAAAATCTTCCATTTCATAACCATCTTTTTTGGAGGTTAGGTTTGAAACAACCACAGGTGGAGTGATTGGAAATCTTATTCAGGTTATTTAATGTGATGTTTACCTCTCATGAATCTCAATAAGGCAGAAAAGTAAAGGTTGGTCATCCCAGAGGCTAACCATAAGAAGTCAGATCACTGTTGCTTTCCTTTCCTTTTACCATTTTGTAATGACTCCCAAAGTCTGGTTTCTCTTAAGGAAAAGGGAAAAGCCAAAGTAATGCAGCATATTTTACATGGAGGGAAAATAAAGAACCTCAGTCTGGCAAGATTATTTTTAAAAGACTTTTGTTCCCTGATTAGCAGGGTAAGAGTCAATATTCCAGGTTATTTGTATTTGAAAATCCCTCACACAATGTGCTCTGAGTTTCCTCATACAGCACCATAGCCAACCCAGGCACCAGGCCTGGGTTCCAAAGAAGGTAACACTCCCAGTCATCTCAGTATTTCAGTTTCCTAGCTCTCATTTGATGGTGGTTGCCAAATACAATCTTGTGCTGTTGTTTCTAACAGATTTCAGTTTAACTGTGAGATACGCATTCACCACATACCACCTGTCAATTTTCTCCTTACCTGCTCTAGCCTATTTTGGGGAGTCCCACTTCTACCATGCTCTCTCTCATGGCCCATTAAGAGTCTCCCAGTGAGAACTTTGATCTCTGCATGAGAGATTGGTCCTGTGCAGCTAGTTTAGTCCCCATTGATGGCCACTGTGGGAGTCTCCTACCTGGGGCCGCATGAAGTGGCCTCAGGTCTGTTAAAGACCACAAGTTCCTGTGGAGGACTTGTGTCAGTGAAGAAAAGGGAAGAATGTCACTTGCCCTTTTATGGGGGTGTCAGAAGAGGACCTCATGGCATCTTGTTGAGTTTGTGCTCCCGTGTGCCTGTTGCAGTACGACCTGACTGGAATCAGAAAGTGGCAGAAAAGAAGCTAGTAACACAAGGCTCTGAATTATGTTCCCCTCCAATGTTCAAAGTTTCCTTATTGGTTACCTCTTTCCTCAGGATGGCATCTCTTGTAGGAGGGTTGTCTGTCTCAGAAAAATTGTCCCAGTTTTTCCACCAGTCTCCTGATATCCAGGCAACTCTCTGGGCATGGTCCAAGGTGAAACTTGTTAGGACCTCTGCTCAGTACCAAAAAGGAGAAATATAAATTAATTTAGGGAAAAAAAAAGTGTAATCCAGGCAAGTCCATCCCTACTGTCCTGTACCTTCTGGGTCTAGCTTCATAGCTGTGAAGCTTCCCCAGCTAGGCCACCCCACCCATACACACAGCCCAGTGCTAGCCAGGTAAGAAAAGATCTGCATCTCCCTCTTGCTCTTTTCTGTTCCTTCCAACTTTATTTTACTCTTAAAAAAAAAAAAAAAAAAAAAGCTTTCTGTCTCCTTCCTTGTGCTTTTAGGTTGCTAATTTCTCTCTGTTCCTCTCACCCAGGTCAGAATCTATCCAGGCAGATCCATCTCTGCTGTCTTGTACCATATGCGGTATGCAAGCACACCATGTGGTTTTCATTTCTTAACCCTTTTTTTATTTTCTGTGACGTGTTTTTTTCTCCTCCTTTCGTTCTAGTTCTTTCCTTCTTTTTCTTCCTATTTCTTCACTTTTTCTGTCCATAGCTACTTTGTTTTCCTTTCCATTTCTTTGCTTTTTCTTCTTATTGCTCTTTCCTACTCTCTTTTTCTGTTTTTCCTTACTTTCCTATTTTATTATTGAACCTTTAACCACTGACTAGAGAAAACAAGGTGCATAGTAACTAGCATGTGAATACTGGGAGTTTTAGAGAATTCTTTGCCCCTTACTGTACTGGTTGTAAAAAGAGGGAAACTCTCCTTCATAAATCAACACTCCTCTTGTGATTACCCACACTGGAGGACACAGTAGAAAGGAGAAAATAGCACCAAATAATATCACAGTTGGGTAAACACAGGAGCTCACACTTACAAAATCCTTCTCCAACAAATTAGCCCAAAGTGAAGACATTACCAATGACTAAAAATCAGAAAAGAGCCTCAAGGATGAGAGAATCAAGTAATACATCACCCACAAGAGGCCACTCTAATTCATCGCCAAATAGGGAAACATTAAAAGATATTACTGAAATGTCCAAAAAATAATTTAGAACATTCACAGTAATGAAAATCTATGAGATGCAAGAGAAAAGAGACATTGAACTCCAAGAGATCAGGAAGTCCTTCCACGATATGAAAGAAGATGTGGACACCATAAAAAAGAATCAAACGAAACTTTTAGACATGAAGGTTGTCATACAGTAAATCAAAACCTCCCTTGAAAGTATTAAAAGCAGGTTAGACCATGTAGAAGATCAAATCTTAGAAGTAGAAGACAAAACCAATGACCCAGAAAAAATAATAAAAAATACTGTGAAAACAGTCAAGAAAACTGAGGATACTATATGACAAATACTAGATACCATAAAATGTCCACACATCCAAATAATTGATATCCCAGAAGGCGAAGAAACTAATAAGGGCATTGATAATATATTCCACAAAATTCTGGAAGAAAACTTTCCAAGTCTAGAGAAGCATTCAAACATCCAGATGCAAGAAATACAAAGAACCCCAAGTAGAATCAATCTAAGATGATCCTCTCCATGGGATATAATAGCTAGATTGTCCAAAACCACAGACAAAAACAAGATCCAAAGATTGGCAAGAGAGAAAGGACAAATCACTTACAAAGGCTATCCCATTGGGCTAACATCAGACCTCTCATCGGATACAATGCAAGCAAGGAAAGAATAGGGAAATATATTCAAAGTGCTAAATGAAGAAAAAATTTCAACTTACAATACTACACCCAGTAAGAATATCCTTCACTGGGAACCAGCAGTTGGCGTAATGGCTATGTCGCTGGCCTCCCACGTAGTCGACCACGGTTCGAGTCCCAGACCCAGTGGCTTAAAACTCACGCTGGGGCATGTGTGCATGCGTGCCCAAGATCCCTAGAGGAGATGGAGGAGAAGGGATTGTGGCATGACCATCCCTCTTGGGAGGTGATTTCTCACTTTCTATCTCTCTGTCTCTCTCTGTCTGTCTGGCGAGAACATGCGCCCTGTAACGAAAATCTCTCAAAAAAAAAAAAAAAAAGAATATTCTTCATATGGGAAAAGAAGATATAAAACGTTCTCAAATAAACAAAATCTGAAAGAATTTACCAACTCCAGAACAGCTCTTCAAGAAATTCTAAAAGGAGTACTATACTACTAAAACTAAAGACAGACAGCAATTAGAGAACAAAAACAGCCAAGTATATGGCCAACTTAATGGTAGGGACAATTCTGGAAATATCGATAACACTGAATGTTAATGGATTAAATTCTCTGATCAAGAGACACAGACTGGTGGAATGGTTTAAAAATCAGAAACCCTTCATACACTGCCTACAAGAAAGCCATCTCATGAATAAAGACATACATAGACTAAAAGTGAAGGGCTGGAAAAAGGTATTTCATGCAAATGGAAAGCAAAAAAAGAGCAGGAGTTGCTATACTGATTTTGGACAAAATAGGCTTTAAGACAAAAACAGTAAGAAGAAACAAAGAAGGGCATTATATAGTGGTAAAAGGACTACTTCACCAAGGAGATATAACACTTATAAATATCTATGGATGCAATTCAGAAGCACCCAAATATGTAAAAGAAAGACTGATAGATCTAAAAGGAGAGATAGACTATAAAACAATAATTGGAAATCTCAGTACCCCATTGTCTCCTTTAGATGGGTCAATGAGACAAAAATAAGCAAAGAGATTCTGGTCCTAAATGATATCATAAATCAGATGGACTTGATAGACATCTATAGAACATGCCACCTAAAAAACACAAAATATACATTTTCTCAGTCCTGCATGGTACTTTCTTGAAGATTGACCATCTGATATGGCACAAACCCAGCCTTTACAGATTCAAAGGCATAGAAATCATATCCAGCATCTTCTCTGACCATGATGGAATGAAACTTGATATTATTCTCAGGAAAAACCCACGAAAGCACGCAAACACATGGAAACTAAATGACTTCATCACTACCGAAGAGATTAAGACTAAAATCAAAAGATTCATGGAAACAAACGATAATGAGTACATAAGTTTCCATAACTTATGGGACACTGCAAAAGCAATTATAAGAGGGAAGTTCATAGCAACTAGTGCACACAAGGAAAAGATGTAAAGATGGCAAAAGGACAACCCAACATCATACCTCAGGGAATTGGAAAAACAACAACAGAAAAATACAAAAAAATGCCAGTAGAAAAGAACGAATAAAAATTTGAGCAGAAATAAATGAAATAGAAAATAAGCAAACTACACAGAAAATAAATGAAAGCAAAAGCTGGTTCTTTGAAAAGATAAACAAGAGAAAAGATGTAAAGATGGCAAAAGGACAACCCAACATCATACCTCAGGGAATTGGAAAAACAACAACAGAAAAATACAAAAAAATGCCAGTAGAAAAGAACGAATAAAAATTTGAGCAGAAATAAATGAAATAGAAAATAAGCAAACTACACAGAAAATAAATGAAAGCAAAAGCTGGTTCTTTGAAAAGATAAACAAGATTTACACACCACTAGCTAGACTAATTAAGAAGAGAAAAGAATCAGATACATCAAATTTGCAATGAATAAGGCGACAACAGACATATAGAAATATGAAACATCATTAGAGGATACTACAAGCGACTGTATACCAAAAAAGAAAACCTGGATGAGATGGACAAATTTCTGGACACGTATAATCTACCAAGATTGACACAGGAGGACAAAGAAAGCCTGAATAAGCCTATAACAAGCAATGATATTGAATCAGTAATAAATAACCTCTCAACAAAGACAAGTCCAGGTCCCGATGGCTTCACTGCTGAATTTTACAAAACTTTTAAAGAA